CTCTGCGACTCGCCTGTGAAGCATTGCGATCTCTTCTTCTGCTTTCTTCTTGCGCTCGTGCTCTTCTGCCAATCTAGCTTTCTCCTGAGCCTCCATTGCGAGTGCCCTGGAGAGCTCTTCCCCACGCTTGGCTTCCGCGGCCCAGCGTTCCTTGTCGGCCAGCTCTTTCGCTATCGCCTTCCGGGTTCGTTCAACTTCCTCTTCGAGCTGCTTCTGGAAGGCTTCCTCTCGCAGCTTAGCCTGCTGGCGTTCCTCTTTCAATCTTGCTTGGGCGGATTCTCTAGCCTGCCTCGCCGCCGCTTCTTCGCTCTCTCTTCGAGCTTGGTCTGCTTTCGCAGCCGCGTCCTTTTCTTTTCGTTCGCGGGCGAGTTCTTCTTGTAGCTTCAGTCTGTGCTCCTCCTCCTCGCGCAGCCTGGTGCGTTGTTGCTCTTCGAGTTGCTGGACACGTGCTTCCTCGGCTTTCCAGAGAGCGAGCGCCTCTTGCTCTTTCTTGGCGTGAGCCTCCTCCAGAGCTTGACGTACGCGCTCAGTTTCCTCGTCGATTTGTCTCTGATGTATTTCCTTCTCGCGCTGGATGGCTTGCTGTTGTTTCTCGAGAAGGAGAGCGTGAGCTTCTGCATCGGCCTGCCTAGCAGCAGCGATCTCGCGATCACGGAGCTCCTGCTCGGCCGCAACTCTTTCCATCTCTTGCCGGGCTTTCGCTATCTCGTCCTGTAAGCGAGCTCTCTCGAGCTCCTCTGCCATCTTTCTGGCTCGTTCTTCCTCCTCCCTGGCTTTCGCCTGACGCTGGAGTTCCGCTTCAAGAGCAAGAGCCTTCTGGCGTTCTGCCCTGATTTTCTCTGCCTGCTCTGCCTCAGCTTTTTTCTTGTCGGCTTCAGCCCGTGACATCTCTTCCTGGAGGGTGCGAAGATGTTCCTGATGTCTCGCTTCAGCAAGTTCCCGAGCTATGCGCTCCTCTTCGAGCAGGCGAGCCTTGTGCTCAGCCTCCTCTTTCTGGGCGGCGAGGAGTTCGCTTTCGCGACGTGCGTGCTCGAGTTGCGATGTCTCGACTTCTTTGCGGGACTGGAGGACTTTTTCCTGTAGTTCCTCAAGGCCCTGCAGGTGGCGGCGGTTCTCGGCTTCCATGTCCGCCATCCTAGACTCAAGTCGCGATTTCTCAGCGACGAAGTCTGCGGCCATGCGCTCGGCGTTGCGCCGGATACGTTCGATTTCTTCCTTCTTCTGGTCAACTTCTTCCTGGAGTTCGCTTCTGCTTTCCTCATCCTTGGCGCGCAATGCAGCCTCCATCTCTTGGCGCAACTTTTTCAATTCCTCGTCATGACGTTCAGCCTGCTCCTTCAATGCCCGAGCGAGCTCAGCGCCGGCAGAAGTGTGCGCTAGATCCTTGTGCTCGTTAACGAGCTCATGCTGGATACGGAGAGTCGCAGCCTGGTTGTTGATCAAGTGACGAAGAATGGTGTGTCCGGACGCCTGGGTGCCGTCGTGGCGAAGCATCCGAGCGCCCTTCTCAAGGACTGGCTTGAAGAACTTGTTGTTACTCGCAAGTTCTCGTTCACGGGCCTCTCCGAGCTTGGGGTCGACACTCGACCACATGTTGGTCACGATGAGAACGTTACGGAGGGTGCTGTCTCCGCACAGCTCGCGGAAGATGCGGAAGTTACGCTTCGATGTGCCGCCTATTCTGACGTCGGAGATGCGGTGCATGTAGATGATGCCAGCGAGCTTGGCACCTTGTTCATAACTGCAAATTGATTCATCAAGACCTGTCGGTGCCGCATGTTGGGGAGAAACTTACGTGTTGGAAAGGTATGCAGCGATCGACGACAAAATGTCGGTGTCGCTACGAGTCGTATCGTCGAACCCTGGCGTGTCAACCAGGGTGACTATCCGCCCGTTGAGGAGAAACGGCTTCGACGTCCGCACTTCGGACGTGCAGCTCTCCAGTCCACGACCAACAGGCAGATTAGACCCGCTGGCGAGGTTAATAAACTACAGAACCCGGCGGTGAGTAACTTCGGATGGCAATTTCGCAGTGGGAGATGCGAACCGTTGATTTGCCACTTCCAGTGGCTCCCATAACCCTGTAGACGAAAACTTAGAAAAGCATGATCCGGGCAGTCAGAAACAAGCGTACGCGATTCTGATCTCTTTCCCGCGTTGGGCCATATTGATAGTCGGTAGGTCAACAGATGGAAGAAAAGTAAGGGACAGTGAATGTTACGCAAGGGTTGACTCAAAGTTCGCTCGTAGAGGAAGATGGCAGGCAGAGAACAAGTAGGTTCGAATTGCAAAACCTTTCAACGTACGTTTTATATCTACCACCGTCATTCCTGCGCCCTGCATACTCGTCACAGTGCTATGGGTCACTTTTGATCACCGTGGCACCTGACCGTCACAGAGGCCCATGTTTGCGGTTCTAGGTGAGGCACTGTCTCCAACGACCGAGTTCAAAAACATCTTTTCAGCATTTCAGTGATCGGGCATAAGGTCCCCCACGATGATTCCGCGCCGTTCAAGCTCAAATACAACTAAACGGCCTTGCAGCCCCTGAGGCCTGAACGATGCAGCGTGTTTCTGGGAACACCGCGATCTCATGGACGTGGCGTTCACCGGCATCTATGGCATGGTGGTGACTTGAGAGGAGTCGTTTGCGCCATCATATCCAATATCCCGGTATCACGCAGCGACTGATAGTGAGGACCGTATCTGATCGGTAGAGATTAAGACATGTTCCCGCAAATCTAGATCGCTACTCCAAGACCCCCTGTACACCAGCAAGAAAGTCGCTAAACAAAAGAATAATAGACAGTGAGCCGGTTCAAAGGTGAAGCTACATAAGGTTGTCAACATGTTATCCACGAATCACCCCTCCTTTACATGCAACATCTCCTCGATCCTGCGTAATTCCACCTGGTATTCGGACCCAAGCCGCGATGCCTGGTTCTGAGCCTGTTGCAGTTCTGCTTCGACTTTCCTCATTTCCTCCTGAAGTTCATTTCTCGTCTCCTCATCCTGGCTCCGCTCCGCCTCCGCCATCTCCTCCCTCAGGTCCTCCAGTTCCTTCTTGTGTCGCGCAGCTAGCTCCGACATTTCCTTATCAAGCTGTTTGAATGCGGCTGTCTGCGTAATGTCCATGCCCTCGCCCAACTCACGCTGGATTTGAAGGACCACAGGCTCCTTCTCAACGAGGTTCTGAATGATGCTGTGAGCAGACTTCTGTGTGTTCTCGTGTCGCAGCATCTTTGCATGCTTGTCAAGAATCGGTCTGAAGAAGATATCCTTGGTAGCAAGTTCACGCTCTCGGTCGTTTCCTTCCTCCGCAGTGACGTTCTGCCACATGTTGGTGACGATGAGAACGTTTGGGTAGGCTTCTTCGCCACAGAGCTCCTGGAACATTCTGAAATCGCGTAGGGCCGAACCTGTGAGCCTCAAGTCTGAGATTCTGTGCATATAAATAACCCCCACAAGGCGTGCTCCCTGCTTGTTGCTGTAAAGGCGGAGCGTCAGTAATTGGATCACCAGGGCAGCTGCGAGCATACGTGGTAACGAGATACGCAGCTATAAGCCTCAAGACGTCGGTATCCGTCAGAGTTGTGTCGTCGAAGCCAGGAGTATCGATCAACACGACTTGCTGTCCGCCCACGTTGAACGGCGACGACGTCTGCACTTCATTGGTGCAACTTTCCAACCCGGAGCCCGCTCTGAGGTTAGAGCCCGACGCTAAGTTGATGAACTGACAGTTCGCTCTGTGAGCGAATTAAACGTCACCGAAATCAACTAAGCGGCACACCGTCGTCTTCCCACTCCCAGTAGATCCCATGACCCTGATGTGAACTGATAAGCATGTCTACTCGACGAGGAATGACCATGCTCCGAACGACATACGCAATGTAAATGGTTTCGTCGACTGGAGGTGCATAATATGGAGACTTTGGCTCCTCGTCCGCGAATTTGTTCAACTGACTGCGCCTTGAACATGCAAGTAGTTGGCCCATCGTCGGTGAGTTGGAGGGGTGAATGTGAACTCGGACCAAGGAGATATCAGGACTAAACGGATGGTTTAATGCAAGCACGTGTTGGCAGCGTTGTATCACATTAGGCCCACGCGAGGGAATCGCCTTGAGGGGCTGTTCAGAAGCGTTGGCAATTTGGCTTCCATTCCTCAGATTCCGCGGCTGTAATTCCGCAATTCTGTAATCTCGTTCAGGTTGGCGGCGAACACGCGTTTAACCCGTGGATGAGCCTGAGCGTAAGGTCAATGATATGACATCATACGGAAGCGTCTCCAGGAATATTAAGCGGTGCAGGTCCGACCGAGCAGTACTTACTGTGCCAAAATGGACTAGAACAAAGAACAAGGTCATAGAACAACCTCCAACGTGCACCCGTTCGAGAAACGGAGTTCGGAGGATGATCAGGGATGAACGTCGCTCAATGGCAAGAGGGAGGAATGTTCGAAAATGCTGTAATTTGAGTGGGACGATCATCGGGTGGTGATGATGATCAGGTCCCGGAAACCCTCGAGATAAGTGGTTGCGAGGTTCGGATGAGTGCGATTGGCTTCTCGTATAACGAGAATGTGTTCCCATCGTATCCGAATCTACAGTCGTGGCCGTATTACTCTGTACTAATCCCATCGTGCTCACCGCGTGTTAGGTTTTTCCAGAATTGTTTGACAGGAACACGCCCACGGAAAGCTATGGCTATCTGCACACCCACAGTTGTGGAGAGCGGCTGAGAAGTACAAAACCACAGATAGGGGAGCGAGTCTTGTCCAGTCGAGGCATCGGGTTTCTTCGCATGGAAGTCAGGAGAGATGGTGAAGTTGATGGTCCGCAGGACTGCACATGTGCAATCATCGGTCTTGCTCAACTCAAACAAATGTGCATGCTGGAGAGCTTGTGGGTGATCATGTTATCAAATATCAGCTGAGGGATAAAACTATTCTTGGGAGCTCACGTCTGTGTAGATAACCCGAAGGGCATGCAAAAATAAAAATTTGGATGCACAGGGGATTGAACCCTGGACCTCATACACAATGGCTCATGATTACACAAGCACTTGCAAAGCATGCGCGCTACCACTGCGCTATGCACCCATACTTCAAGCTTGAGCAGTTGTAATCAAGGAGCCGAAGATAATGCGCGAATCCAAAATAGGAATGCTGATGATGATTTGATGTAATTATCGACACGGTTGCCGAAAAAAAAGTGGCCTGATGTCTACCAACGACATGTATAAAATGTCTATCCGAATAGTTCCTCCGCCCCCCGCCTGCAACTTCTCCGTCTGCAGTCGTGAGCGCAAGCACATCGTGCACGGACACAAAATTCCCTGCTTGTTCTCATCGCCATGGATCTCGTTCTACACCTCGCCGACGAATACGTTCTCGACAAAGTTTGGGCTCATCTCATCCCCCCTAACGACCACCTCGTAGACTCCTCGGAATTCCTCTCTGCTAACTTTTCCACCATATCAACTGTGCCCCAGTCTGCGTGGCCGCGAGATTATATTCCTAGGCAACTATTATCCTTGAGCATTTTAACTCTGATTGGAATCCATCTCCTCTACTTCATCTTCGCTGGCCTCTCATTTCAATTTATATTCAACCATGAAATGATGCGACACCCACGTTTCCTAACGAACCAAATCAAGTTGGAGATTCAAACCAGCTTAAAAGCCTTCCCAGCCATGATGCTGTTGACGCTCCCGTGGTTCCAAGCAGAGGTCATGGGGTATTCTCGACTTTATGATAATGTCGATGAATATGGGCGGCTTTACCTCGTCTTCTCAATACCCTTGTACGCGTCCTTTCGCTGATACTGTGGCCTTCCACTCACAGATATCTAGCTTCCTGCTTTTCACGGATTACTGCATATATTGGGTTCATCGCATTCTCCACCATCCCACCCTTTACAAGACTTTCCATAAACCACACCACAAGTGGATAAGTGCGTGACAGTGTATTCTTCACTTTTTTTGTAAATTGACATATCTACCCAGTCCCGACCCCCTTCGCGTCGCATGCATTCCACCCAGTGGATGGATACTTGCAGTCCGTGCCATATCACTTGTTTATCTTCATCTTCCCCCTCCACCGATGGGTGTATCTCTGCCTTTTTGTCTTTGTAAACTTTTGGAGTATATTTGTGCGTAAACTTCAAATTGTGTTCCGATATGATTCTGACGTTGCTTGCACAGATCCATGATTCGGATATGATAACTGGACACGCTCTTGAGCAAGTCATCAATGGTCCCGCACACCATACACTGCACCATCTCTATTTCACGGTGAACTACGGACAGGTACGCATCGCCTCCTGGTTACATCTGTTGCTTTTCATGAACTCTTCGCCAGTATTTCACCTGGGCGGATCGTGTTGGTGGCTCGTATCGTCATCCGGAATCGTCCCTCGACCCCTTGCTGGAGGTGAAGAAGGAGAAGGTGTCATGAGTCATATGACTCTTTGTCGTGCATTATAGAGTTTGGTGGTAATTCGTACCACGCCTGATCTGACAGTACATTTACTTTGCAGTTTCTAATGTTTCCATTGCATTTCCAATGCGTGCAACATCACGCCATGTGCATATATGCATGCCCCCGCTGCCTGAAGTCGAAAAACAAAGATGAACTTCGCAGTGACAAGACTGACAACAGTTATTGGCACATGGCCACATCTTGTATCTACCCCTGACTCTGATGCTCTGCATAATCAACACAGTTTAATCGACGACACGGGCAACTTTGCAAGCAGCTGTGTTTGGGAAAGTCCAGAGAAGTTACGAGCTCCAGCAAGAGAACGCTCGACGCTACTTTCCGAAAGGAAGGCTGTCCATTGGCCTGACCACACTAATGGACACCGTCCAGTCGCACAACACCTCGCATAAATTTCCAATGCCTTCTCTGACGAATGTAATATACTTCTCTGCGCCGTTTTCGCCCGCGAGCTTGTCTGCAACAGACCCCAACCACGCCGCAGCCACAGAACTCTTCTAGCGGGGAGTGCCAATGTATCTTCCTTTTCGAGCTGGAACGGAGTCTGCGGGCGAGTGTGTTGCGAACGTCAACGATGAATGGGGGAGAACCGGGAAAGAAGGGGACATGGTTGCCGATGCCAGCTTGTTGCAGTGGAACGAGACTCAGTTGGCACACGAGCCTGACTAGTGACTCGTTGATCCTGAGCGATTCTAGAATTCCTGTGGTGATTACGAGGACATCGAAGCGGGAATATCCCCCCCCCCTCCCACACACAGCGTCATCCATCCATGCCAAAAGCTGGTTATTGGATACATTAGAGACATTGCCCTATGACGGTCGCATACGTTGCTATAGATCGATACAGAATTCAAAAAGCATGAGCAAGCTATGTACAATTTCACTGTAAGATAGTTTACTGGCCGATACGACGGTCACAAGTCACAGTTTTTTCGGTCGCCTCTTCACCTCATCGTCTTTGCATGCGTGTAACATGAGCTTGTTAGGGTGCCCCGGAGTCATTCCACTATGCCCTTTGGACCAGTCATAGGAAATGGCGTATGCGAAGATGGTGCCGTTGCGGTTGAAGGTGGTGGCGCTGATTGGGCCTGCCGCGGCCTCGAAGGCTTAGTAACATATGCATCAGACTCGGATCAATCATGTTTGAAATGTATGGCAACATACTCTTTAGCCGTGTGCGCGCATCCTTGTCCCAAAAGTGAATGGTGCCGTCGGCCCCTGTTCATAGTTGTAAGCGAATCAAAAAAAAGTATTTGTCTAGGGTGATTGGCAAGGCTCACCGCATGTGGAGAAAGTTCCGTGGACGGGGTGGAACGAGATGTCATTCACAGCATACACCAAAGACTGGTCTTTTGCGTTCGGAGTCTGGTCTCTTCGGTGACATTTGAAAGAGAAATTGTTGCTGTCGCCAATGTCAGTACCAGAATCCTCGCCACCAGTCACGACACACTCACGGCCCGTCCTTCTCTTCGACGTATCTGCGCAGATAATAAGCGAAAGGTCACATAAAGCGCGTCTATTGCGTGACAGACGTACTGGATTGCCACGCGTCCTTCGATACTGCCAACCGCAAAGCCACTATTGGCGGAGTTGGTAAAGCACGAAACAACACGTGTCTGCCACTTCAAAGGCGACGTTATGGTCTGCATAAACAACGTTTGAGTCTGCGCTCCGAGACGGACATGACATTTGACAAGACCTTGTAAGGCGTGTTTGGATTCGTCAAATTAAATATTTGAATGTGCCGTTCTGCAGTGCCAACCACAAGGAGCGGGTATTGCACATCCATGCTGTAACAACGCTCCGCTAATTGCACTGTGGCGATAGGATTTGCTGTCCTAAGGTCCCAATACTACTCAGAACGTGCCAGCAACGGCGACGCATCACAGGATCAACGCCGTGTTTACTAATGCAACGCTCGTGTGCACAGACCTTGATCGTCTTGTCCCAACTCCCAGTGGCCAGAATGCCGCCTTGCGGAGTTTCTATCCACTTGACGACTTTTACAGGCGCATCATGTTGAGCGACTTGTGTTGTTTGCCCGTTGGTAATATCAAACATGCGTGCAGCATTGTCGGCGCCGCCAGAAATTACTTTGTTACCGTCCTACTGAATGCTTCAGATGATATCACATTTGGAACCATTATTAAAGCATGTACCTTGTTCCAACAAACGCTAAGAACGGGTCCTTGGTGGCCGTACATGGCCTTCCCCTGTGTTTGCCCTCCGGCGCCAACTTCGTACAAACGGACCTTGTTGACGCGTCGATGACCACAAACGTCACGGTAATTCATGAACTCACATTGTTATCCCAACTCCCCACTGCAAGATAGTCCGCCGCTGAAGAGAAAGAGAGCGAAGAGATGGAGTCGGCTGGTGGCTCGGGGACCTCGATATCCTTGTCAGCTGGGGCAGCGGGCGTCGTTGATGCCGTGGCAGTCCCAAAGAATGACATGACACCTCAGCGATCAAGTGCGCGAATAAAGTGAAACTAAGAGAACCACTAAGCGAACAGAAAACAGACGATGAGAAGACAAGTTAGAGCACCAAGTATGACAGAATGGGTGGCGTGGTAAAACGTTGCAAAAAGAATAATTCGTATCTCCTGACCTTTTACCCTCAAGGCGGGTTGGCGTAATGGTAACGCGCTAGTTTCCGGAGAGGTGCGCTAGAGATTCTGGGTTCGAGTCCCAGGCCTGTCGCTTTTTTCTCCCCCTCATATAGCCTGCATGTGGCAAAGTAGGATTCAGATACATAACTACACACGATACAACTTGCTACTCTTCCCTTTGGTACGACGTCCGAGCTATTCTTACACACTGATACATATCTGACATACGCCGATTTGAACAGGCTTGGAAGCCGAGCCTGTCTCACTTCTTCACGTCTTCGAAGACGGGTGTGTCAAATGTGCCATCGGGGTCTGATTACCGTCAGTGCACCATACGGCGACAGCAAGTCGACCAGAACCTACCTTGGCCCTCGCGATATATATATTCCTTGTCTTTTTGCGCGAGATGCATGATATAGCTCGCATTCAAGTGTGCCTCCGTTGAGACCACTGCATTGAACAATGCGCCAGCACGGACAGCAGCCGCAGCAACGTGATATCTCGAGACATGGTTGCAAAGCAGCATCTACCGCAAAAACCTTATCAGCAAAGGACCAGAAATATTCAATTTGGCATGGCAAACATCAAATGGAGATGTTGTAGTCCCCTCCTCGCGATACCTGTTGATCGCTATGAGCAATGGAACAGCAGGGGAAGAGTTGTGACTGACCCCTCGATTGATATCCTGTCTAATATACCTGGCCTGCCGAAAACTAACCCCTTTACCTCGATGGGATAGCCGTGGTAGTTGACGATAATAGGTCTATCCTTGGTGAACAGTGTGTCAAAGTCACCATTGCTCAGCGCGTGAGGGTGACTTCCATGCGGACCGAGAATCATCAGGTCTGTCACGTTTACGACACGGACGCGGAGCGCCGGGACAAGCTTGCGAAGAAGAGCAGCAGCTGCAATGACTTCAAAAGTAACCTCCGTTCCGATACCAACGAGGACGCTAAAGGGTATGTCAGATGCTAGCGGACACTCATAGACTACTGGATATTTCTTACACGTCAGGGTTTATTCCCTCATCGACGCTTGCGAACTTCCAAACAGAGGCTCCAGCCACGCAGTGCTTTGGTGCATCAGTTGAATTGACCCTGGAAAAAGCTGGGAGAAACGTACGCGATCCGCCTCCTCTGGACTCAACCACACTGAGGTCGGCTGCTTGCTCCCGACCATCAGGTTAATATAGTTCTTGGCTCTCAAACAGTGCGCCAAAGTTGAAAGGAAGCAGTTAGCATCGGGCGGAAGGTATACCCGCGCGAGCTTCGGCTTCAGATTGAGGACAGCGCCGATGAAAGATGGGTTTTGGTGCGAAAAGCCATTATGCTCTTGCCTAGTCCATGTGGACGTTTCAAGGTAATTGACAGAACCTACGTCATGGCGCCAATCGGTCTCAAAGGCCTGTGAGGTGCAAGGTAAGTACAGGTCAGAAAGTGGACAGGGAACGCAAACCATCTTCGTAAACTTGCTGTATTGCACCATCATGGTGTGCACAATACCCAAGAAAGCCTCGTAGCTCGGAAATAGGGCCGTCCTCCCAGTCAGCGTATAACCTTGTATCATACCCTGGCAAGTGTGTTCCGAAAGGATTTCGATGATGCGTCCTCCCTGCGCACGGCTAGCAATGTCCCACTGGAAGTTACGCCCACTAATATCAAGTACAGCATCCAGCTTGTTCGAAACTAGCTCATCCGGAGAGAAAATCCTGAAGGAAGACGGATTTCTGGTGAAGTTATAAACTCCAGAAGTTCAAGCCATGTAGACAATACTCACTCCTTGATGACCTCGCAAAGGTAATTGCCAATCGTCTTCATGCAGCTTGCTTCATGACCACTTTGAATACCAAATGGGATCCAATTGGGGACACTGAGCGGCTGAAAGACAGCGTTAGCCTCCTTCCTCATGCCAAGCCTCTTTTCCTCGTCGTCGGGGATGACCTTGAGGACGTCGTCCCTAGGTGCACCATCGACTTGGCCTTCTGCGCTACCGATATTAAAAAGTTCGTGAGGTTGGTAGCTGGACAACCAGGCTTGTAGCAGCTTGAGCTCCTCTTCCGAGGTCTTGACTCCAGGAAGAGGTACTTGATGCGAATGGAATGATCCTTCGATAAATTCGCCGTGCAATTGCTTAGGACCGGACCAGCCTTTTGGGGTGCGCAAAATAAGGACTGGCCAGCGAGGTTTAACGATGGGATTTCCGGAACGTGCCGCGCGCTGAATATGAGAGATTTGGCTGAGAGCCCATTCCATAGCCCCTGCGAGATCTTGATCGATATTTGCCAAGTCATCGACTATGCGGACTTGGTAGCCGTAACCGCTGACATGACGTCATTGATGCGCGAATACGCAAGCATACACGAACTAACCTGAACAAAGCAATTAACTCCTTGTCGTCCATGCACCCGTAGATGGTACGCTCCGAAATCTTAAACCCATTGAGATGCACGATGGGAAGCACAGCGCCCGACTCAGCAGGATCGATGTACTTGAATCCGTGCCACGCGGTTGCAGTAGGTCCAGTCTCCGCTTCTCCGTCACCTACGATGCAGGTGACGACGAGGTTTGGATTATCCATTACAGCGCCGAAGGCAACACTGAGGGCATAACCTAGCTCTCCACCCTCATGGATAGCTCCGGGAGTCTCGGCATTGATATGGCTGTGCCAGTGAGCCGGTTAACAAAATGAAAGTGTTGCAAGTATGAAGAGCTTGCCTTGGAAATCCACCAGGAGTGCTAAATTTCGTAATGAGCTTGGTTAACCCAGCTCGGTCACGAGTATAAGACTGCCAGAAAGGCGCAAGCGAATTTTCCAACCACAGGCAGGAGAGAATCGCCGGTGCACCATGACCTAGATAGTTGATCAGAAAAGATGGAAGTGAAACAGACATAATACCAACCAGGTCCTACCACGATTAATGCGTCCAGATTGGTCTTCTTGATGATGCGATTCAGATGCGCATATACGAGGATGAGACCAGGACAAGTCCCCCAATGCCCAAGCAGACGGGGCTTGATATCATCGAAGGTGAGCCTCTTCTCGAGGAGTACATTATCCTTCAAGAAAATCATCGCTGATAACGAGTCTGAGCTCAACCAATAACACAAGTCATAAGTTAGGGGTGAATTACCTGCAGTTATGTAGTTCGCGGCTTGCTTGAACTTGCGAAGGGAAGTGAGCTCATCGTTGCTTAAAACTGGCTTGGTGTCAGTCTGCGCGCGGCATTCTAACACGGAATCGGGGAGATGAGAAGGATCAGGAGGCGGGTTAGCCTGAGAGATGCATTGGCCAGGCATTGCACAAAAGAACTGCGGCGATGGCAACCAGCTACAGAAGTGTATGGAGTATGGAGGTGGATGTGTGCGTGATTGGAGAAGAACTGAGGTTTTAGGAGAATCTGACGTATTTAAATTACCCCAGCCTTATGACCACATAGTAGACGAGGTACTACCTGGCGTAACACATCACGTATCAGGGGCTGAATTTCGAAACCCTTTGGGACAAAGCTACCAGTCCAGGCGCCGCGTGTTCGTCTAGAACGTTGCGAATTGCGCCCTCAGCGGATACTGAGTATTACTGTACTGACAAACTCATCTGTTAGGTTACCCTTGCAGGTAGAGATTCTTGGAAACACCTTGCAATGTTCGGGCGACGCTTCTGTGCATTCTTGGATGATAAGTGGAATTTTGTGAAATTCCCGCTACTCAGTAGCAACCTTGGGTGTGGTTCGATTCAATGTTTAGCTACTATTTGGCCGGATAGCAATCAATTTGCAATTGCAGTAAGCACCGTCGTATCCTTCTGCATGATTCGCGTGGACGGGATTCCTAGGCCTGGGCCTCTGGTTATCTGCATGCAACAGTTTCACAATCGAACTCTAACGGGTCTAGAAACACAGTGATATCGGGAAAAGAAATGAAGCTGTTAGCAAATCTGAAAGAGATGTCGACAACCGTCATCAGGAAAATCTGTGAGGATACCCTGCACTGACACCTGCTTTCTAGTGAATCGCAAAGTCTTGGCATGAGACAGCCGTTAACGTCGGTATTGTAAGCTCCTTCGTTCAAGGAGTATAGTTATTTTCGACACCGATAATTCCCCGTGGAGTGTGCAGGTGACCGACATGGACAGCGTTGACGAAGCGAATGAAAGAGTTGCAATGGCGAAACGGGAGCACACAAACCGAACTTTTGAAAAATAGGCGGTGGGCATGACGCAAAAGCAACACAGCACGATGGGGTGAACAGCGAGGGCATGTTCTTTATATATTTAGAGACAACAATTTACCTAGGTTACAACGGAGTCAAAGTCAATGTCCTGATGTGCAAAATGCGTTACTAGTATGTGACAAAGATACGCTGGCCAACCCAAAAAAAATATTATGGTGACAGTTCAAATGTTCGGATTGAGAGCACTGTAGTCGAGCCAGGTCCCAGAGTGTACAAATCGAGACGCTACAAGGCTGGATACTAGAGTACCCATGCACCCGCACATACAGCCGCAAGTATAGGTATACCAAGTCCAACATAGGGCGCATGTAATGTCCGAGCTCCATTCCACCCTGGCGGCAATCCGAGAACCACAGAAGGTTGCGTGATGTGGTACGTGGATGTCAAGACGTCCCCTTGTGCATCAGTCACGATAAGTGTGTACCCATCCGAAACCTTTGGAAGTTCGTTTACCCCCACAGCTGGGGTCACGAGGATAGGTTCGTAGGTGCTTGTCGCGAGCTCTGAGAGCACGATTTCACCAAGAGTTGCAGGGACGGACGTGTTGAAAGCATATGGCGGTGTCGTGAACGTGGGCGTTGGCAGAATGTAGTTCGGTAACATGGTTGCCACAGTGGCAGAAGCAGCAGAGAAGAACGAAGAGACGAAAGCAGGGGACTCAACAGGCGCTGATGAGTTCAGCAGCGGGTACAAGCCAATCATCGGAGGTTGCTTGTAGTCGATGCCATAGCTGTACGAATAATCAAGTAAGCGTATGGATATATGAATGTGTCCTTACCTCCAAACAGAGTACACGGTGCGCAAAAACGGCGTTCCTGGGACATAGTCAGGAGTAAGACATCACAAAAAGCAGCCCATCTTA